AAAAAAAAAAAAAAAGAAAAAAAAACAATGAAACGAAAAAGAAAAGATAAAATTCGAACAATTTTGTTAATCATCGTTCGTAGAATTATACGCGCGTATGTATAGAAAGTTGCAAAAATTTCAAGGCCTCGAAAATTTCAATCTTCAGTGATGAATGAGAGAGAAAGAGAGAGAGAGAGAGAAAAAAAGAAAAATAAATAATTAAATGAATACGAAAAATATAGTTATTGTTACGCGTGATCGCGAGATTAATGGCATTACTGATAACATTATTAATGATTACACAGACAAGGAGGATCGATCGAAGATCGATCGCGGAGCGTAACGATTATTCGTGCCGTTAGTCAGCGGCCAGGCACTTGATTAAATGTGTTATACGTCAATATATATCGAGAGAGAGAGCTCGAGCTTGGAACAGTTAGGTATATATAAGTTAGGCGGAACACGTTCCGAACCGGTGCCCGCTGCTTGACTTTTCGCTTTTCGTGTCGTGACAGGTGGTTTCGTCCTCCTGCCGATCGACTTATCAGCCACGCACAAATTGCACCCTCCGTCCGACCGAGCTAATGATATTAATTACCGCGATGTATCTAATCTCTTGTTTCGTAATTTCGTGTACTTTGCTACCGCCGCGATGCCCTTTCTCTTCGACGATCATTTTTGTAATTAAACGTGGCAAAGCGGCGATGACTGATATTACCTTGGTGCTATCGTTGTTTTATCGTTCTAGAAATCTGAGGTAAAATCTTTGTCCGACTATACATGGCAAAATATTAACGTCGTTTCATTGTAATTGGCCTGCAATCTTGCCCTGATAAATCAATACTTTTTAAATATAGTACGACTATGACGAAGTTTCAATGTTTATAATATTATTAATTCAATCAATAAATTATTAATTTTATTAATTAATAAAATCGAATTTAATTATCACGAAATAAGCAATCTTATTTTAATAAATTTGTGCGCTTAAACTGTGGTAAACTGTTACGGTACTTTCCGTAATTGATATAATTTCATTTTTGCACTCTTGCATTTTTGCCGACGTTAAGTTTTCGAGCAAAGTATCACACAGAAGAAGTTAACAACATTCTCGAACGTTTCAATAAACTTTTCAAGGAGCAAAAATGTCTGAATTCTATCGTGTCGTACGTTTCATCTGATAAAACGAAAGAAACTCGTGTCTTTGTGACGAAACAAAATTTTTGATCTGATTAGACGGAGGTTTTACGTTTCTAAAATGTCCTCCCAGGACACTGACGATTTTAGCGAAGCCGCGTGTTTCTTAGAAACATCTGAAGATCGTCCGTGCAAACTAGCGACTCGACGCAAATAATTTTCATAATCTGAGATCGCGCTAGGACGTGCGGTCGTATTTTCTCTGAAACGTAAGAGCACATATCCCGTCGACGTAATCGTTCCCGTAATCTGGCGTTTTCTCATTCCCGTGGTCGTCAATTGAAATGTTACAATATTCAAATTTCCAAACTACTCACGGAGAATGACAAACTACATTAAGGAAATCCGATGGATCTCAATGCGCGATAAGAACGTACTACGCGTAAAATTTCTAACTTTGCAGATACATGATCTTACTTGACATTCATTTCTAAACTAAATTGTACTTTCTTTTCCGTGTATATTTTTCAATACTCTTTAAATTGTGATAAATTATAAAAACAAGCACAAAAATATGCTTTATGTATCGCTCATATCTGTATTTCAATATTAGTAGTACTATTCTTTGCCATGCATATTTTTGACACTGATTCAGAAAATAATTCAAGTGATTTAGATATTTTACATTATTACATTAATAATATATATCAGTCACATAATTATTATTATTATCAGTCTTATAATAATTACAATTCCTTTTGCCATATACAGTTTTCTCTGCTTTTACATTAACGAAAAAAGACACGGAAAGAGAAAAAACAAAAAAAAAAAAAAAATGAAAAAGATTTTCAAACTCTCAAACTAAATAAAATAAAATTTATCTCCGCCTCTTCGAGACGGTTCGTGAAAAGACACGGCGAAAGTCAAGCAGCGTTAAACCGACTCGTCCCATTCCTGCGCTACCGTCTCAATTCTTTTCCATTATGGTGTGATTGCCTGGACTCACCGATCCTCTTGACGTGGACGTCTCGATTGAAGGAGACGCTTTTCTCAGCGGGCTTCCATCCGGAGACGGAAGCCCCGGTCGTATCGGGGTGTAGTAAATCGGTGGTAGGAGGGTTGCAGGCTCCTCCCTCTCTTAAAAAATCCGAGCGCTGAACCTCGAGCATCCTCCCGGCTTTTCGTTCCAAATCGTAAGACACCTAGACGCCGGACACCACCAATCGGTCTCCCCTTTTTTTTTTTATTTTAGCTTTTTCTTAATTTTATTTATCTATTTTCTTTTGGATATTTTTCTTCGTACTTTCTCTTTTCCTCTTACCTCGCAACCCCTCTCACCGAGCACCCAAGTGTGTGCCTTAGCACCCCAGCCTCTAAATGCTTTCTTTCTTTTTTTCTCTCTTTCTATATTCACTATCTCCCCTCTCCTTCCCTCTCAGACCCGATCACCGACCTGTAAGCCAAGCAAAGCTGTGCTCTTAATATACATCTGCGGGATAGATAACCTCGTCGAGTGAGATTTGTGTTCTGTTTTTTTTTTTTTTTCTTTTATATATAGGATAGGTCGCGCGTGATACGTAGTGTGGATCGTTCAGAGTGTGTCTTTCTAGATAATATAAATTGGAATAATATCTTTCTTTTATGGTAACGTGGTTTTCGAAAGAATCGAATTTGAGAAATTGCCGGCAGATCGTGAGGATCATTAAAAGAAACGAAACTTCGATTTACACTCCGTTGCACGCATTTTCAAATTTCTCGCAAAGATCTTACAAGTCTTTGGTACATACTTGATTAGTATTTCTAAAAAATGAGCTTCTATATTTTTAAATATGAGATATCAGTATCTCTTTTTTCTCGTCTAACAAAATAATTTAAATAACCAATAACATCGTTGGATTATAAATGATTATAAAAATACACATATTCAATTTTACTTTTTCTTCATTTACGACTCCCCGCGCAAATATTACTTCAATCAAATTCAAATGCAACGAAAAGTCTCAAAATTAAGTAATTCAACTCTAAATTGCCTCAGTATCACAGTTAACCTCTTGCTCTGGAATGACGTGCCACGCACGTCGAGAATTTTTTGTCCCAAATTGCTATATTTTCTCAGTTTTAAGTATATTTAAACTTAGGCTATATGATAACCTTATTACTTCTCAATAATTTCTATCCAGTGACACCATACCGACGAGTTTGAAAAGAAAGCAACGAAATATTGTATACGGTTCGGTCACTCGTTATGGTCCGCGAACCAATTGCCAGCATAAGTGGTCAGAGCTACCTTCTCGCCATTACGAATCCTTCAACTTTCTCCGAACTCTGACGCTCTCGAAAACCAAATCACGAACAAAAATCGACTCGATTTTTCAACTTATTTCTATACTATATCATGCTACACGTCTTATATACATATATACACTCGCGTGGAAAAGACACACTCTCGTTTTTTCTGTCAAAGTCTCGGAGACGTTTCTCTGTCTTTTTCCTTTTTCTTTTTTTTTTTTTTGGCACTTGCGTCGCGGGAAGCTTGTAAAGCCAGTAGGTGTACACCGGTATACGATTTTACGAATGTCTCTCATAGACGAAGAACGTCTAGTTCACGTGCGCCAGCAGCGTGTGCGTCGGTCTATTTCCAGTCGTCCTTATTGCGGTTAGAGAAATCGCCTCTATCGGTAATTTACAGGGGACTCGTAAGTAAAAGTAGCCAATCTTTTCACCGGTGCTTTGCTCTCGGAGACACACCGACAGACTCTCGCGTGTTTGAAAGAACGACGAACGTACGAACTGTCGAATCGGCGTGGAAGCGATCGATGTCGAGTACCGATAGTAAAGTTCTTGCTTGCTCACCGGCGACAAAGGGGTGCACTGTTGCCTCGAGAGAAAACGATTATCTGGCGTGTGTTTTCTACCTGGATTCGGCGAGTTCCAGCGAGGCACAAGAGAGCTTTTGTTCGGAAATTTTATCGAGTTTTCTCGTCAATGCGATGCCCCGTCAACGAGCTTTCGAAAGATTGTGAATCATCACTTTAACTCCAATCAAACGATGAATTTATTGTTTTTTTTGGGGGGGGGGGAGGGGGAAGTTTTCTTAAAAATTGAGAGATTCTTGAGAAGAATACTTCCGCCAGTATAATTCATTTCTTTAAGACGACACGTCAGTTCAAGAGAATTGTCAATTTTTTGGAAACAAATTGTAAAATCTTTCTCATTCTATCTAATTGCAGAATGACACAATCTGAGAATGTGGTTTCAAGAAAAGTGAAAAATAATTATTGAACAGAATTTTGCATAATTTTGTTAAACAAAGAGGCGATGTAAATCGAAACAATACATCTTTATAAGAATTTCTGTCTGCTATTAGTAGACATTCTGTTCCGATTCAACGAAGCTCTACTATATTTTATTCATAATGAAACATATGTACACGTTTGAAACTATAGATACAAGTAAATAAGATTTTCTTAATTGATCGAAAAGTGCGTCCGTGACAATAAATATGAAAAATATTTGTGTATACATACGGAAATATTGGTAATCCGAATTTAACTTGTATCAATGACATTGTTCCCTTCCTGTTCCGAATCATGCTCAACGTATAATCTTTCTTGTGCCTCGACAACTCCCGCATCCACAACTCATAAATCACAAATTAAAAATAAAATTGAAAGTCTAATATTTTTATCAATATATATTATACGTTAATAAAATCATTAACATACATAATTATTATAACAATATTAATTAAATATTAATAAAATCCTGTTACGAATCGACACTACATAATCTTTTTCTGCGCCTCGATCCATAAATTGCAAATTAAAAATAAAATCATCGTATATTAATATAACAAATATCGAATTAAAAATAAAATAAAACCGACAAGAGCCTAAGTCTATTGTTTCACCGCCGGCTCGTTCGATTTTTCTCGGAACGGCAACAAGCACGACACGGCAAAAGAGATTATTTTTCGAATAAATTCGCTGGCGTTGGCGCACGCGAGTCGACGACGAGGACGCGATCGCGATGAACACGACGCAGTCTGATAATGGTCTCCATTGTCGTCGGGCGATTCGACGAGACACTCGAGATACACGTGCAAACGGTCTATTGACAGTTGCGAGGATGACGATGACGGTGCGCATTAACGACAATGAGTTGATGATCGTGCGATAAGCTACCAACGTATTCTCTCGTTTTACCCCATCTTTCTTTCGCTACGAAGCGTCATGCAAAGCTGTAATCACCGGGGTTCCGGGGCACGACGTTCATTACGAGATTATTTTCTCATGGAGCGAGATCGTGTAAACGGAACGCATCCTTAAGCACGTACTTCGTCGAATCGGTCCAGTTTCCACGGCGTCCTTGAGTATTTTTCAAACACGGGAGAAAGAACGGGGACAACACCGTTCGAGAGAAAGAATTTTGCCAGTTCCTTCGCGAACGACGGGAAGATTTTACACGCCTGTGGTAAGAAACGCGCGTGGAATGTTATTTTTAGTTGACGACTTCCTGACGAAACTATTTTCATGGCTATTACTGCCCCGTTAGTTCGTACAGTTCGCCTGATGGAAACTGAGAGTATGGTTTTGCGTTAAAGTGGAATTTTCTAACGACTGTGTGCTAATTTTTGAACATACGGCTATGTAAATTCAGATGTAATTTGCAGCAAGTCACGAAATTGTTCTCGAGTTGATAAATATTTCATCTGAATAATTAAATTTAAGCGTCTATTGATTAGAGGTTGATTTTTGAAAAACAACAGTAAAATTGATGCAGAGTATGTTTTACCAAACATTAATTATATTTTCATGATAAATTTTGTTAATTGTTTCACCAATTTCATGGCCATTTCTTGGAAATATATTCGTTCTTCTGCATATTATGATTCTTCGAGTTTCTCTTTCAATTTTGTATCTTAAAGTCTAAACTATGAATCTCTGAGTAAGAAATATTTATTATTTCATACATTTGCGTTATATTCTCCGCTATAAGAACAATTTCACGACTCACTGTACGCAGTATTATATTAAAAAATTATATATTTTATAATTAAATATATAATATATAATATATAAATATATATTTATATATTAAAAAGTTTGGTATCGAGCAAAATGACTCGTTCCTAAAAGTCCTACGGATCTTCCTTCTTTAAATCTAACATTCTCAGTTATTTTTCAAAGATCGAGAATCACTGTTCGTTACATAAAATTCCACGAATCTACAGTCGTGTGCTAATTGACCAGCAATCGTGACGCGAAAATATGGCGATGAATATATGAAAACGCTCGTCAATACTGGCTGGCCGTGTCTGACCGTTACTGCGCAATACTACTTAATTTCCTCGAACCGCTACGGTGATTTCACACATCGAGCAATATAATATAAATAAATCGTCACTACAATGACACACACAGTACTTAGAAACTAGAGAATGAAAAAGAAAGGTTCTGAAAACAAATTAACTTTTGTAACTTGTTAACTAGGTTACAACATTAGAACTATCGACGATTCAAATAGAAAACTTGTGTCAAAGAAGTCAGAGTACAACGAATAGAAGAGAAAATTGAGTGGAAAAAATCTAATATTGGATCTTAACAGATTTTAAAAATGAATGAAATCGTTACAACGTAACCCTATTGAACGAGTTGTTCCTAATACTAGAATTATTAGGAATTATAAAACTTGTATCAGAGAAGATAGAGTACAAACTTTCATTTTTCATATTTTATGACGATTTGAAGGAATCGTCCTTATTACAAAAATCGGATACAGAAGAAAGAAAACAGACTACAGGATACTAAGAAAGGAAACAGAGAAAATTGTTGACAAGAGCGATCGACAAATATCTCCAAAAACTTCCTTTTGTAATTAGAAAACCATATGTATCGAAATATCCAGATAAATTGACAGTTTCTCAATTGTGCTCCCAATTTGACCACGATTCGATATCAAAACTCCGTTATCAGTTGTCCCAGAAATCTCGTTATCACTCTCAAGTATAGAATCGACGATTCGCTGTACGAACAACGATCCGGACAAGCAATTCGAGGCAGTAAAGCACGCTGTCGCATCGCATAGTCGATCGATTCCTCGTGGCGGGACGCCACCTTCACTTTCCAAAGAGGAGGCAACGACAACGCGCGGTGGCACGTTGTGGCGATTTCAGATTCAGCCTGCGTTCACGCGTATCCGCGCGGGATCTCGGCCGCCTTTCGAGCTTGCAACGGTGACCTCGTCGGCGCTTCATCTCCCAAGGCCATCTAATCGCGACGCGTTCGTGGCCCGTAGCTCCAAAGGGGTTGGGCCCCCGACGACTTTATTAGGCCTGTTCGCGCAAGAAACGCCGACTCTCGAACGAGACAATTCGCGTGACCGTGATCACTGGATTAAGATACAAACTGTGAGTTGACTCGCCGCCGCCATATTTGGCGAACAGATGCTCGC